GCGGCCTTTGGGGCCTGGCAAGTTCTGAGCTGGCTACGCCCCATGCTTTTCCAGGGTGCTGGCAGACCTGGCAAGGACTAGGGCAGTCCCCCCCTGCACCCCCAGCTCCTGAGGCCAAACCCAGGGCTTCCCACTGTGTGGTGGAGGAGCCCTCTGTGACCGCCAACTCTCCTTCTGTGGTCCGGGCAGGCTGGTCTCGAAGCCCTCACTAGGCTGTCACAGAGGCTGGGGTTGGGCTGCCAGAGGACACCACTCTGGGGCAGGAGCTGCTGCTACCTCCAGTTCTGCTTCATGGGGGCCACTGCGGGAGGACACAGGCTGAGGTGGCTGCGGCCACAGGAGGGCCTGGTGCCCCAGGGGGAGGTGGAGCACAGACATACCCTCGGGGCCTAGGCTGGGCACCAGCATGGGACTCGGAGGGGTGCCCAGGAGGGACTCCTCTCTGGCTGGAGGCAGAGGGCCCTGTGGGTTGGGAAGTCAGCTTGGAGTGGGGCTGGGCCAGGTCCTCACCTCCCAGCCTCCCCCAAGAACCACTCCGACCTGAGTGCCAGGAGGGCCCCTGTCAGGCCGTGGGGGCGGTGGCAGCGCAGCCCCCGTCTGCTGGATGAACTGCTGCAGGTTGCACTGACGGAGTTCCCGGTTCAGCTCCTCCAGCTCCTGAGCCTGAGCCTGGGGGCATATGGGACCCTCAGGAGGTATAGCCACAGGGCTCCATGCTCAGGCCCCAGAGGGAGTGCTCTCCTAAGTCAGAGCCTGTGACCCCCATATCTGCCGGTGTCAGGGATGGGGGAGTGACAGGATCAGGTCCGCAGGTTCACCTGCCTCCCGAGTCGGACTCTGTGACTCCCATATTTGCGTGTATCGGGGTGGGGGACTGACAGGGGATCAGGTCCCCAGGCTCACCTGCCTCCCGAGTTGGACCCTGTGACCCCCGTAACTGCGTATCAGGGGTGGGGGACTGACAGGGGATCAGGTCCCCAGGCTCACCTGCCTCCCAAGTCAGACCCTGTGACCCCCGTATCTGCCGGTGTAAGGGGTGGGGAAGTGACAGAGAAACAGGTTCCCAGGCTCACCTGCAGGGCTCGCTCTGCAGCCTCCAGGGCCCGGCTCACCAGAGCCAGGCTGCCCTGCACCTCTGCACTCTGTCGCTCCTGAACAGCCAGGTCCTGGCGCAGGCGCTCAGTGGCAGATGCCATAGGTGAGGGGGGCCCAGGGGCCTCCGCTGCCAGCTGCAGCTCAGCCTCCAGGGCACGGGCCTGAGCATCCAGGGCCTGCAGCCGGGCGGCATGCTCAGCAGTGGCCGCGCTTAGCGCCTGCAGGCGTGCCTGTCCCTCCCGCTCCCGGGCTTGCTCCCGACGCAGTTCCTGTTCCCAGAAGGCCTCGTGGCCCAGCTCCTCAGCATTCCTCTGCACCCTGAGCTCCAGGCCGCGCAGGTCTGTGCCGTAACCTGGTGTGGGTGTCACAGGGGCCGCAGGCCCAGCGGGTGAGAGGCTGGGGGCTGGCCCTGGGGTCAGTGTTTTGCGGGGCTCACAGCCCAGCGCTGCCCGTGGCTTTGCAGGGAGGCTGGCACGAATTGGGCAGCGTTCCGGGGGTGGACAGTTGTCTGAGGAGGGCCTTCCAGCCAGGCTGGGCCCTGTGCGCCTCAGGACAAACTGGACATCACTGGCGAACTGTCCACAGGTGGCCTGGGCGCCCACTGGACACTCCTCTGGCAGCAGCTGCCGCTCCTTCTCCCTAAGCCGCTGCACAAGCACAAAGCGGCCAGTCTGGCCTGTTAGGGAGAGAAGATCAGCCTATGTACCCCCGACTCTCTGTCCACCTGGCTTAAGGAATTGGGGAGGACAAAAACGATCAGCAACCACTCCCACTCTCCTCCGGGGGGTGCCACGGGGCTGGACCACTCTCCTCTGGGGGGGCCACGGGGCTGGGTCACTCTCCTCCCGGGGGGGCCACGGGGCTGGACCACTCTCCTCCCAGGGCGGGCCACGGGGCTGGACCACTCTCCTCCCAGGGCGGGCCACGGGGCTGGACCACTCTCCTTCGGGGGACCATGGGGCTGGACCACCAGGTCCCACTTCAGCTCTACCTGCCCAGCCTGCCTAACCCCGAGAGGACTCACCTATTGCTTGGGCTAGTGCGATGACCACTTCCTGGCAGGTGGTCTGCTCCGAGACCCCACAGACCACACGCTGGATGCCATCCACCCACACCTTCAGCTCCATGGCCGCCAGCCCCAACAACATCCCTGTTCTGTGGGGAGGGTGCAAGCCACAGGGTCAGAACCTACCTACCCCTATCGAAGCCTGGTCCTCCTCTCTTCCTTCTCCTGGCCTGCCCTAGAAACGGCTGGGCTGCGACCCCTCCGCATGGGCCCCACCCTCCTGTGCCAGCCCCACCCGCCGGCCACACATTCCTGGGGTGGCGGCCCTCCGGAGCACGCATCCTCCCCCACTTCACCAGCCTACTCTTGCCACGCCCGCACTCCCGGAACAAGGAGAATCATTAACCAGATCCAGGATTTCCTGCCCGCCTCACCTGGCTCGGAGGGCACTGCCCCCTCCCCGGGCGGCGCGAAGGCGCCCGCACGCCAGGCCCCGCGGCCGCCGCCATGGGAACGCCCCACCCCGACCTGCTCAGGCCGCAGAGGCGCTCGGGGTCGCGACCCAGACCTCGACCCTGCAGATCGAGCGGACTCCGGGTCTGAGCAGCCCCAGCCAGCCCGGGGAGTCCCGCCGCTGCCGCCCAATCGCTGCACTCGCCCCGAAGGTCCCGGTCCCCGCGGCGAGCACAGATGCCCGCGCCGCGACCCCAGCCTGGCGGGAGCCAGGGCGTCACCGCTCCGCAGGGCGGGCGCAGGTGCGGCACCGCCCCCGCCCTCCGTCCCGGCATCGCGGAAAACTCTCCCCAGTTGGAGTCGGCACCCGGCCGGCTAGAGGCGCGCCCCGCGCTCGAGAGGCCCCGGGACCCCGCGCGGATCACCTGGGCGCTCGCCAGCCTCTGTACCCGCTCGGGCGCCGCCGCAACCTGCCGCCCCCAGCGCCGCGGCGCGCCCCGGACCCGCGCCCCCATTGGCCCGCGGCCCGCACGCCCCGCCCCCAGCGCCTCTATTGGCTGCTCAGCGCGGGTGTTCCGCCCCCTCCCCCGCGCCCATTGGCTATCTCTGTCACGCCCCTTCCCGACCCATTGGCCTGCCGCCGCGCCCCGCCCCCAGAGGCTCCAGGTGTGGGCGGGTCGGAGGGAGGGGCCGAACCGCGGTCCCCGCCCCCACCTCCACCCAGCGAAAAACGCGGAAACGCGGCGGCTGCGACCCGCGGGCAGCGCGTCGAGGCAGGTGTCTGACCCCGCTCCTGGGCCGACTTCCTCAGCCGCCTTCTAGTGTATGGCGGGTTCCCGCCCAGGGAGGGTCTCTGGCCTGGGATCCCGCAACCCCCGCCTGCGTTCAGGGGCAGAGGGGCCAGCCCCTCCCCTCGCTTCCCGGGCCAGCCTTTGGAGCCTACCGCAGCGGCAGTAGCCTGGACGCGCGGGGGTCGCGGAGTCGCAGGGTCGCAGGATCACCAGTCGCGGCAAGGGAGGTAGAACTCTGCGGAGCTGGCGGGCGCCGAGCCCTGGTGCGAGAGGTGCCCGCTCAGGGGAAGGCCCGGACTCTGGCTGAGGCTCTTCTCCTACACCTTCCTGCCGCTTTTGGACCCAGTGCCAGGCCTTACGCACAGTGAAGCTGGCTGGAAGCTGCTCCTCCACCCCCTACCCTACTGTCCCGCCCAGGGCCCCGCAGCCTCGCGGTCAGCTGTGTGGAGCATTGATTACCAGTTCCGCCCAGCTCGGAACGAGTTATGGGCGTGGAAGGGTCTCCTGCCCGGCTGTCTCCTGTGCTCCGCTAGGGAGCCCTTACATAGCTGAAAGTTGCAGAGGTGAAGAGTGAATGAGTGAGGGCGAGGTGGAGGGTGAAGGCTGGAATGCTTGGGTCTTGTGGGTCAGGTCTGGGACCTCGTTTTTGTCCTGGAGCAGAGGGAATACGTGCCATGGTAATGAGAATGCCCACAGGGCCCCCTGAGGGTAGCCCAGAGTGTGTGGAGATGGCTGGGAAAGGTGAGGCTTCAGTTTGGGGGTTCAGGTAGGTGAGGGCCTGTCACTGAGGTCAAAGGAGCTGTGGGCTGGGCCTGGTGGTGGAGGCAGGTGCCTGTAGTCTCAGCAATTCAAGAGGTGGAAGTGGGAGGATCACTTAAGCCCAGGAATTCGAGGTTACTGTGAGCTGTGATCACACCAAGGCACTTCAGCCTGGGCACCAGAGCAAGACCCTGTCTCTAAAAAATTAATTATTAATTTAAAAAGAGGCTGTGGGCAGGGGCATACTATTCCCAGTTAGCGTTCAGCACGGTGCCCAGCTTGTCACTGTTACCTGTCTGCTTCCCCCACACACCCATGGCTATGCTGGGCTGGCCCACAGGCAGCAGTGCCCCCATATTTATCCCGCAGGTGCTGCCAGGCTAGGTAGGGGATGCTGGGGCCTCCCTCAGGATGCTGGCCACTAAGTTGTCCCCCCACTAAGCTGAGCAGTGGCTCAGCCTCTCACACCTCCAAGCTGGGCTGCCCCAGCCCAGAACTCACCCAGGGGCCTGGTCTGGGGTCTCCCTGGAGGCTCCTGGTAACAAACAGCCCCTCCCCTTCTGGGTGCTGGTATCCATGGCAACGGTATAGAGCCCTTCCCTCCCAGGCCTGCTTGGAGGTCCGGCCTCAGGTGAGTGCTGGGGGTAGAGCCCTGAACTAGGGGTACAAGAGACAGAAAGAGGGATACCACATCACAGGCAAAGGGCCAGCTCCTGGGTGGCAGGGGACATGCCAGGGACATGTCAGGGGGTGACCTGCTACCCCATCCTGGTCAGAAACACGGGTGTGGACATCCACATGTGAGTCTCTTCAGAGAGTGACGCTCTGTGAGCAGTGGTGCCGCCTGGGCTGCTCCAACCTGTGTGGCCACACGAGGCACAAATAGCCAACTTGGGACCCCCGCCCCTCCGCTCCTGAAGAACATTGAGAATGGCCCCCAAGTCTGGCCAGGGGGTTGAAGAAGCCGAGGAAGAGGCTCTCCTGTCCCCCACAGAGCGAGAGTCTGTCAGTGGTCACCTGGGACCTCCAGCAGGCGCACCCGCAGCCCCCGAGACCCCCACATGCCTGCCAGACACCACGCCCCACCCCACACGGGCGGCCTGCTCTGCTGACCTGCAGTAAGGAGGGGAGGGAGGAGTGGTGAGCCTCCTGGGCCAGGTGGCCAGGGGCCCAGCCTGAGTAAGCAGCAGGGGCTGCTGCTGCTGCTGCTGCAGGTTGGCTCTTGAGTCGCTGGACCCTCGCACACTGCGGCTGCTGTGGAAGCAGCGAGAACTGGAGATCCAGGCCTTGCGGTGGGCCGTGCAGAATGGCAAGGACACCCGGCTCTGCCACATCCTGGAGGAGGTGGCGGGGATTCCACCCAAGAGGTCTGCAGCACAGTCCCCAACCAACCCAACCCTGCCCTGTCCTTGCCCAGACTCCTGGTTTCTGTCTGACCCCAATCCCAATCGCTGAGTCAGATCCTTACCCTCATCCTTGCCTACGCTGACCCTCCACCCTGATCCTAAGTTAACACGCTATAGCCTCAACCCTAACCCTGCACATGTGGATGGGTGCTAGACCCCTGCCCAGACCAGCCGGAGGCTGGCCGGCCCCAATGGGGCTGTACTGTGTGCCCTTGGGGCCAAGGTGGCAGTGGAGCCCCTGACCTGACATTAGAAACCCCCTGCCTGAGCGGGGTTCTGAGTGAGGGCTGCTGAGGTCGCCCCTCCTCCAGGAGCTCCTACAGTCAGGAGAAGTTCCTGCAGAACCAGGTCCAGACGCTGACCCTGGAGTTGAAGGAACAGAAGGAGCGAGCCCAGTGGGTGAGGCGGGGGCACAGGGAGTGGGCAGGGTCCTGGTGTTGGGGAGCCAGGCTGGGGCTGGCCTGGGGGCCTTCTGCAGAAGATCCCCCCCCACCACCACCCACGGGCCCTCCCGGAGCAGGAGAAGGAGCACCTGGAGGAGCGGCTGTTGCAGACCACCCGCATGCTCCAGGAGGTGGAGGCTGAGCTGCAGAACTTGCAGAAGTCCTGCCTCCTGCAGCTGGCCCGCTCCTCGTGGGTGGGCCACATGCCACGATCCCAGACTGGCAGTGTGGAGGTGAGCCCGTCCCCCAAGCCCTCCTGCCCCAGGCTGCCCTCCCCAGCCCTCCCCCTCTCATTGGGTGCCTCTGCTGGGGTGCCCTGGCCTGCCTGGAAGCCTGCCCTGCTCAGGCTGCCTCTGGAACTCTGGGCTCCAGCAGGGAGGAATCAGGAGGCCTCAAAGCACAGGTGAGGTCAAAGAGAAGAGGTGCTGTAGGGGAGGGGTACCCTTCACCCCAGCCCCTGCCCACTGGCCTCTGGTCCCCTCTTGCAGGTGGTGATGGCAGAGACTCTGATGGACCCAAGTGACCTCTCTGAAAACATTCAGGTCCCCACTGGGGAGGTGAGCTGGGCCTCCCACGTGTGTGTTCTGGGATCTGGAGCCCTGCGGGAGGGGAGGACCACATGCCTGTTGCTTCCTGGCCAGGGCTTTCGGCTGGAGGACGTGGACTGGAACAGCATTGCCCACCGGTACCCCAACCTCTTCATCAGCCTGGAGCCCAGCTCAAAGCAAAAGTAACTGCACAGAGCAGGGACTCCCCAGGGGCCAGAAGGGAGGGCTCACCTTGGCAGGTGAAGACGCGGAACACTAAAAGACCCCTTAGTGTCCCTGGATAAGTCCCTTCAACCTTCCAGTGCTCAGTTCTCTGACCTGTAGGATGCGTTAGGGTTGAGGGGCCGTCACTGTGCTGCCATGAGCTGGGCCTGGGTCCTGGGAGGCAAGAGGGGCTCCCTGCTGCACTGTCTTGTGGGGCTGGATGGGGACAGGGCTGGGGTCTGGAGCTGGAGTGGCCATCAAGCAGAGTGTGGTCCACAGGCAGCCCCGGCCCTGGCCACAGCTGGACACGGGGAGCTCAGAGTCCTCTGGAAAGCACTCTGAGCGGCATCACAAGACCGTGGAGTGGGGCTGCCTGCCCTGTCTGAACACCAGCAGCTCAGGGGGCGCTGACTCCGACTCCAGCAGCTGTCAGCGGGGCCTGCCTTCCCTCGTGCAGGCGGTAGGGCACCCACCCCGGGACCACCGCGCTTCCTCCAAGCAGGCGCTGGTGCAGGCCAGGAGCTCCAGCAGGGACTTGGAAGGTGCAGTGGGGCGGGTCTCCCCTGGTTACCCTTCAGCCATCCTTCGCCCCCTCAGAGCTGTGATATCACCCAGAGCCCTAAAGGAGGTCCTCCAGCCCCCAAGATCCAACCACCTTTCCTGCCCCATCTGACCCTGGCCCTGCTCCCCGCGCCCCCAGGTGCTGCAGGTCTGTTCTGGCCTCACAGGGAATGTCCCTGTGAGGCACTCCATTCGAGGGTCCCCTCCCCAAAAGCGCTGCTCTCTCTAGATCTCCAGAAAATCCACTCACCCAGGCATGGCGAGCCAGTCCTGGCGCCCCAACCCTGCACAGACCCTGACCATCGGAGCCCGGAACACCTGCAGAGGCAAGGGGCGAGTGACCCAGGCCTCCCGCGCTGGGCTGGAACTGGTTTCCCGGCGGGGCGCGCAGCTGTGCGGTGGACCGGCCGCATCTCCTTACAGCGCCCCCTCTTGTCCCAGCCCGACAGGCCTGAAGATCGTGGCGGTGAGCTGCCGGGAGAAGTTCATCCGCATCTTCAACCCGTCGCAGGAGAGCACGGCCGACCTGAGCGGCATGGTGCTGAAGCAGCTGGTGCGCGGCTTGCCGGAGCGCCTGTACCGCTTCCCGCCGGGCACGCTGCTGGCCCCGCGGCACCACATCACGGTGCGCCCCGGCCCGGGAGCCCGGCCCCGACGGCCCGGCCGCCCCTCACCCGCCGCTCCGCGCCCTTCCAGGTCTGGGGCGAGGGGACCCGCAGCACCAAGAAGCCGCCGCGCGCGTCCTCGGGCCGGGAGCCCGTCCCCCTCCTCTCCAGCCGCGGCTGCGCGACGCTGCTCCTGAGCCCCAAGGGCGAGGTCTGTGCGGGCCCCCGGGGGGGCGGCCGGGGCTGGAGTGTGGGGGTGACCGATGCGCCCCGCAGGTCCTCAGTGAGCACCAGATCCCACGCCGCAAGACTCCGGCCCCGAGGGTCTTCGACGACGGCACCGACTTGTCCATCGACCGCTTCCCGCTCCCTGAAGTCGGGCCCGGCGCTGACACCTGCAAGCCACCGCGCCCACCTCGACCCCTGCGCAAAGGCCGGGTGCGGGAGCCCCGGGTCAGTCGCCGGAGACCAAGGTGGGGACCGCGGGTCCCCGGGATCTGGCCTACCTCCCCAGGCCCCGCCCCAGAGAAACAGTGCCTCGTATCCCCGCGCTAGGACGGCCCCCAACTTCCCCAGGCCTCGCCCCGGCCGCCCCCTAGTCCTCCAGGACGCCCCGCGGCCCCTGCTCAGTCCCAGGCACGGAGCCCTCTAGGGCCGCCTTTCCGGGGCCGGCCGCCACCCTCACGACCCTCCCCCGACCAGGACGCGGGGCCTGCTGCCCCCAATGAGCTCGGCGAAACTCTTCCACGCGCGGGAGGGGCCCGCGCGGCCCGAGAACCCCGAGATCCCCGCGCCGCAGCACCTGCCCACCATCCCAGGTGACCCCACCCTGCCGTCGCCTCCCGCAGAGGCCGGGCTGGGGCTGGAGGACTGTCGGCTCCGGAAGGAGCACCGAGTTCGGGTGAGTGCGCGCGTGCGGGTGCGCCCCCTCCCCTGTCCCTCCCCCTCGTCCCCTCCCTGCTCCTCCCCTCTCCTTTTCTCCCCTCCCTGCCCTTCCCCCTCCCGCCCCTCCCGTTCCCTCTTCTTTTCTCCCCTCCCCGCCTCTCCCCCTCCCGTCAGCTCCCCTCCCCTCCCCTCCCCTCCCCTCCCCTCCCGTCCCCGCCCCGCCCCGCCCCGCGCCCTCTCAGCCCCCGCGCCCCGCAGGTGTGCCGGAGGAGCGTGGACCGGAGCTGCCCCCTGGTGGCCCTGTCGGTGCAGAGCACGGCGGAGAGCAGATTCGGCTTCCGCTTCCTCAGTTGCCTGCCGGTCACCGCGGACACCTGCCGCGGCGCCTAGGAGCGGAGGAGCGGGCCGGGACTGCGAGGGAGGGCGCGGGCGGGCTCGGGGGCTGGGCGGGCTGTGTCCGCTGCATCATTTATTGAACCAACGTGGCCTACAAAGTAAACCGCATTTCTGTACACCTGAGAGTTGAAAATGTTGCGCTTGGGTTCGGGGCGTCCTGCGCCAAGAGGAGGGAACAGGCCGCCCTATCGCGGCGCGGGAGTCCTACAGATCCCAGGAGACGGGAGGCCTGGGCCGCACCCCTGGCGGCCTCCGGGCAAGCAGCTGGAACCCTGGGCCACAGTGGCCTAGGAGGTGGCTCTTACCCTGGGGCCAGCAAGGGGGTGGCAGACTGGACTCGCAGCTCCAGCCCCTGCCCCTCGGCCACGCCCAACTGTAGCAGGAGAGGCCTCTGACAGGCCTGCCTGGTGACCAGTCCCCCCACCTCCGTGCCCGAGGGAAAGCCTGGCCCTAAGGAAGGGCTGGGGAGCCCGACCCTCCCTCCCCAGGCCAAACCCAGTTGTGGGCCTAAACTGTTCCAGCCTCTGCTTCCTTCCTGGCTGATTCCAGTCCCCCACTCCCCTCCACCAAGAGGGTCCTCCCCGGCCAGGCACTCCTTCCACCCCCCAACACACCCGCCCAGATGGTCTGTGCTCCGTGACCACATACGTGGGCAGGTGGTGGCCCCAGCACAGGCGAGCTTGGCAGTGGGGGCTACACTAAGTGGGGACGGGGCTGGGGTGAGAGAGTTCAGCTGCCCTGGGAGGTCTGGCTGTTGCATCTGGTGCTGGCTTTGGGCCAGGATGTCCCTGGGCTCGAGGGCTCAGGCCTGAGGCCACCTCCAGGGCTCTCAGGACAGGCACTGCAGCCACCCCATCACCCAGGCCAGGCCCCCAGCTGCCCAGGGCTCGGAGCCGACGCCCCCTGGACTGCAGGTCTGTCGACCACCGTGGGGAGCTGCTGCCAGAATCTCGTGGCCTTGGGTGCTTGGGAGGGGAAGGGACCAGGTGCTGGCTCGAGGTCCTGGAGGGCTCTAGAAAGCAAGCAGAGTGACAGCACATCAGAAAGGCTGTCAGGGAAGGGAGTCATCCGGTGGGGAGGCCACAGCCCACCCATGGCCCTGCAGCCCCGAGGCAGTGGTCCAGGCTGGGGGTCCACAGGCGGCAGCACCCCTGTACCCCACTTTCTGTGTTCCCAGCCCTGTGACCCCTGACTCGCTTGGGCAGGCCCACTTCTGGGACAGACAAGGAGGCCGCAAAGCCTGGTTCTGGCCCTGGGTCATCTGTGTCCTGTCCCTGACAAGGAGACCAGAAGGCCTGGCTCTGACCCTGGGTCATCTGTGTCCTGTCCCTGACAAGGAGACCACAAGGCCTGGCTCTGACCCTGGGTCATCTGTGTCCTGACCCTGAGAGTCTGCTCACTGGCTGACTGCCTCGGGCCAGTTCCCAAGCCTCTGGTCCGCCAGCACCCGCCTCCACTGGAGCCCTGGCATGCCTTTGTCCTGACCCTTCCTCGAGGCCACTGCAGCTCCCCCTCCTCCTGACTGCCCTGCCTGCCCTCCCTCCACCCCTGCAGCTCCTGGCCACTAAGTAACCAGCTATTGACCCCTCTGCCCCTCCACAGACACCCACCACCATATGGAAGGGCAGAGGCTTGGCCTGCTCTGTTCCCTGCCCATCCCAGCCCCCTTGACCAGGCTCCTGCACAGAGGAGGGTCAGCTGCCCACTGTGGGGTCACCCTGCTCACAGTGCTCCCCACCCAGCCTGCCTGCCCGCTGAGGGAGGGTCCTCTCTGCCTTGCAGCTGTGGTCACACTGAAGCTGGTGTCCTTCGGAAAGGGCACTGCATGGCTTAATTCTGTGTCCCCGAGTACACGTGCCATCTTTGGGGTGAAGCAGCAGCACCCTCCCTGCCTTGGTCTGGTGGGCACATGCCTGTGTCCCGGAAAACTGCCCCTGGCCATGGTACCCTGGGGTGGCTCCTTCTTTCTGTCCACACCCCTCTGGACTCTGTTCATACCCCCTTTTGTGGAACCCCTCTTTCATCCAGCCCGGGTATCCCACAAGGTCACAGGGCTTGGACCATGGCTTGGGAGAGGGAGAACTTGGGTTGGGACTCCCACAGTCATGAGCCCCCCAGCCCCAGAAGGGGGCCCCCCTGCCACAGTCCCTCTCAGAGCCCAGCTGAGGAAGTAGGGCCAGGCTGACATGGCCAACCTGGGGTAAGGGCCCCCTGCAGAGGTGGGGTGTTGGGTCACTCCCAGGCACTGGGGAGCAGGCGGGCAGGCTCAGTACCTGAGGCCAGGCTCGGGGGGCTGGGGGGAGTCTTGGGTTCTGCCTGGTGCACTTGCTCTTCAGGGACCCTCCGTGGGCCCCAGGGGGCTACAGCCCCTTCCTGTTGGGACTCCGGGTGCCTATAGGGGAGGGGGCTAGGGTGGGGAGAGGAGGAGGAGCTCCAGCCCTGTCCCTTCTTGGAGTTGATCCCAAGTACATGTGAGGCTCAGGGATGGTCCATGAGCCTTGGGACCAGTGATGACTCAGCCAAGGTAGATCACCCCAGCCCTGATCCCCCCATGGGACAGGACACACACAGTGGTAGAGCTGGGGGGACACCCACCGCATGCCAAGTTCCCTCCAGGCCCTAAGCCCAGCCAAGGCCAGGAAGTCAGAGCTGTCTGCAGGGTCAGGCTCTGGGGAGGAAGTGCTGGCGGCCAGATCTCCTGGCATGTGCTGGGGCAGCTGCTCCGCAGGCTCCCTGGCCTAGAGAGGAAAAGGGACTGCTCTGGGGATTCTGGCTCTGGAATGGCGGCAGGGTAGGGCACTGTCAGGGCCAGAACCCTGGACACTGGTTCCCCTGGGGGGCTGGTTCCTGTGGGGTGTACCTGGCACTGGTGCCTACGCTCCCGCAGGCCCTTGGTGGGGTTCCCACACAGGACTTGGCCAGCACCTGCAAGAGACAGCACGGCTGGGCCTGGTTCGGGGCCGAGGGGCTGCAGGGTCAGCTGTGGGGCAAGTAGTTACCATGGGTGAGGCTGCTGGTGTTATCTTCTGGGGCCAGGTCCTCAGAAAGCAGGCCTTCAGGCAGGGGGCCCCCATGGACCAGCAGGGAGAAGGGCCAGGGCCTGGAGGCCCGGGGCTGCGTCTCAGGCAGGTACAGCTCGGGGTCGAGTCTCCGGATGGGGGCTCCATGGGGACAGTCTGCCCGAGGTTCAGAAGCAGAGGTCACCAAGGCTCAGGCCAGCTGGTCAGCCCGGGAGCGCCCCCCAGACTCTGTCCACAGACCAGGGGGCCCGATTCCCACGCTGCATGGCCTGAGGCTGGCCTCTGACGCTGCAGCCTTCTAGAGAGGCCCTCATCTTCAGACCCTTCTCTCCCTCTGTGGGCTGCTCAGAGACAGTGTCCTGGCCTGGGCCGGGGTGTGCCTAGCTCTGGGGACCAGGGGTCAAAGCTGGGGCAGGGCATGAGATGTGGCTGTCCATCTCTGAGAGGCCTGGGGTGGGGGCCTCTTCCTGGGGCGAGCTGGGGCTCAGCAGCGGGTCCTCCGGGCGCAGCTGTCGTACCCAGCCAGGGGAGGCCGTTGCCCTTCTTGATGGCCTCCTTCACTGAAAGCCAGTCTTGGCTCAGCCTCGGGGGGGCCGGTGGGCCTGTGTGTGCAGCTGGCACTTCGTCCAGGACCTGCAGCTGGGGGATGAGCTTCCTCACCTCTGCCCTGTAGTTGTAGCCCCTGGGCACCTGCAGGGGGAGGACGAGGGAGCGCAGGTCTGGGTCCAGTGGTTCCTTCAGGCCGGCTCTTTCCCTGGCTCCCTTTCCCAGACCCACCATGGGGCAGGGCAGGGGCCCAGAGGTGGTGATGCTGCCCTACCTTGCTGAGGTGGGCTTGGGTCACTCTCAGACCCCAGGGACTTCAGGGACTGGGCTCTCACCCGCTCAGGATACAGGACCCCACTCTCCAGACCCAAGGCCGCGTCCAGGGATGCCCTCTGGCCCATGGAGTTGCCCTCAGCTCAGGGCTCTGGCCCACGGAGCAGCAGCCACTGGGCACTGGTAGACGCTGACCCCAGCATGTGGCAGCACCAAGCAGAAGCTGATGAGGCTAGCACTGTGAGCTCAGGGCAAACGTGGCCTGTGCTGGGTTAGCTACCCCAGGGCCTGCACGCACAGGTGTGCCAGCTCTGAGCAGGGCATACACAGCTCCGAGATACTGCACAGGGTGGTCTGTGAGGCCTGTGGGGCTGGAGGTGGCTCTGGACAGGGCGTACACAGGTGTGTGTGCACAGCCGTGTACACGTGATTCTTTGTGTTTCCACATGGCTTATGTGTGGACCTCACGGGTGCATGCGTGGGTTAAGGGACATGGCGTGTGGGCAGGTGACCCTGTGGGATCTGGCAGGGCTGGCCCAGGAGGATGTCCTGGAAGCCGTCAGACTTCCGGTGACAGAGGAGATGAACTCAGGGTGAGCAGGCCACAGAGTACGGGTGGGTACAGAAGTCCCTGGCCAGAGTGGAGGCCCCGGGGCTGGAGCCACAGGGAGCCTCCCCTGGCCATGCACATGCCGGTCGGGTGCCCGGGACACGCACCTTGTTGGTGGGGCCGGGGGCCGGCTGTAGGCACACCAGGTTGCCCTCCAGGGTAAGCGTGGTCAGGCGTGGGCACAGCTGCAAGTAGCGTACCTGCCCCAGGTCCTCCACGCTGTTGCCCTCCAGGTCCAGCACCTCCAATTGCTCCAGCAGGCACAGCGGGCTCAGGTCCGAGATGTTGTTGTAGGAGGCGTAGAGTTCCTGGGCAGCGTGGGGCTCAGCCGGGGCTCTGAGCCAGGGCCCAGCCCAGCCCTCCCCAGCCCAGGGTGCCCAGACTCACCTTAAGTGCTGGCAAAGAGGCAATGCCATCCAGGTCAGTGAGGCCACAGCGAGCCAGCCACAGCACCCGCAGGTGGCCCAGAGACGTGCCCAGGTCCCTGCAGAAGGCAGGGTTTGGTGGGTGACACGGTGCCTAGCCCTGTGCCCAGCCACTACCTGCCTTTGGCTGCCTCCAGGGGTAGGCGCAGGTGTGACCGCCTGTGGTGGCCTCTAGGCTGAGGAAGGGGCTCTCTGCCTTGGCCTCCTGGCTCTGGTGTGGGTACAATGTCCCCCACCTTCTC